GGCAGAAATTAGGTTTTCTTTTCGGAAGTATATAAAACGAAAAAAAAAAAGTCGGCCGACAGCCTGTAAACAACGGTAGACTTGTGCGTAACAAGAAAGCGAATAATGAAGAAAACAGATTTTTAGACGGGAAACTGTTCTTGAAGTACAGAGAGAGAGAGAGAGAGCTGTGCATGAAGTGAGATTTTATCCTGGTGGAAGCAAAACAGTAAAAGTCAGAGTGAATCCATGACGATGTTTATGTGAAGCGTAGTTTGGATCTTCTTTTGCTGCTGGTTCAGTCAGTTTTGTTTGGAGAGACATCAAACTAACAGCTTCAGAATCAGCGCAAAAAGGACGTGAACACAAAGCTCGACCCGCCGACAGATCAGAATCAGCGAGCTGTCGGCTTTCAGCCCCGACCGTGTCCGTGCCGTCGGTGAGAAAGTCACATCTCACTGATTCTGATCCGTCAGCGGCGCTTTGTGTTTACGTCTTTGTGTTTACCTCGTGTTCCTGCTCTCATTCACTGTTTTAAATGTTTGGTGGTTGTTGAAATTTTGTGACCTGAGATTCTGGAATTTTGGGCAAAATATATATATATATATAAAGAAATCGATTCAGGATTTTAATGAATCGATATCACGTTATCCAAGCCAGAATCGATTTTAATCGATGAATCGATTATTAAAACCCAGCCCAGTTTTCAGCACCACTGAGCTCGATTCAGGTTCAGATGTTTGCTCTGAACATCCTGATGTGTCTGAGTCTCATTCAGTCAGAAAAAGCCATCACACCAAGGTCACCTCTGGCCTACTGTAATGTCCAGACTGGGGGGGGCAAGGCCCCTAAAAGCATGCCCCTGCCTGCACTCCTGGCCTCCTTGGTCTGGGACACTTCAGACTGAAAACTGCTGGACGGTCGTGTATCATCAGAGGTGATGAGGCCTGACTCACAGCTGCACTTGTGCCCAACACAAACCTTTGTGATCGCACCTCCTGGTTTCTTATTTTCTCCTGTTGTGGGAAACAAGTTTCAGGTTTTATTTCCACAAAGACTAAAATTCACAAAGGGTTGAATTAAGTCATCTAAATAAAACTCCAGGATCCTGAGATAAAGAATCATTTAAGTAAATAAAATTATGTTTGTTAATAAGGAAACTTCCTGCCATGCTATCGTTTCAGGTGACTCTCTCAGTTACCACAACAACCGGATCTTTTCCACCAAAGACCGGGACCTGGCGCCCTTCATCACCCGCTGCGCCCTGTCTTATCGAGGAGGCTGGTGGTACAAGAACTGCCACGAGGCAAACCTCAACGGCGTCTACGGCATCAACACCAAACACCAGGTAACGCCATCGAGTCGCTCGCACGGACTTTACTTATTTTCAAGGACCTGCTACAACTTTGAAATGGAGCTGGTTGAAGTATAAAAACAAACGTGTGTGTGTGTGTGTGTGTGTGTGTGTGTGTTCAGGGTGTGATCTGGACCGCCTGGAAAGGAAAAGACTTTTCTGTCCCGTTCACTGAGATGAAGCTGCGACCGGCAGCCTTCAGGCCTCCGTCCCGAGGATGAGCGAGAAGAGGCTGATGATGATGATGATGATGAACTGCTAAACACACATGCTCAGTGTGTTACATGTGTGAACACACACATTGAAACGGGGAGCTCGGGCTCCTGTTAGATTTGTATAGAGTCAGTTATCAGTATGTTACTGCAGATTGTACAGGCTCCTCCTTTTCGCCG